ACTTTCCTCCTGCTCCTTACAGGAGCCCTTCATGCAGGGGGAGAAGGTGCCAACTGTGTCTCTGCCGTCTCTATGCTTCTGACCACAGCAACTATGAATGGAACTTTAGTTTTCCAGCCTCCCTCCCTCTGATCACTGCTGTGTCTTTCTTTGCCACTGCAGCATAATTTCCTCTGATAATTACTATGCAATTAAATTTAACTTTCCTCCTGCTCCTTACAGGAGCCCTTCATGCAGGGGGAGAAGGTGCCAACTGTGTCTCTGCCGTCTCTATGCTTCTGACCACAGCAACTATGAATGGAACTTTAGTTTTCCAGCCTCCCTCCCTCTGATCACTGCTGTGTCTTTCTTTGCCACTGCAGCATAATTTCCTCTGATAATTACTATGCAATTAAATTTAAACTCTTGATTGCCTGCTGGCAGGTTTACTGATAATCCTTTATTGCATGGGGTGCTTGACAAAACTAGCGGAATCAGAAAATTCTAGTTTAAAGTCCTGCTTCCCCAGCATGCATCCACTTGGAGTCATGTTTAAATAGGGGGCGGAGCCTCTTGCAAACAGGGGGCCAGGCTCTTGCTGAAATCTGACACTGAAATGGGCCAATGCAGCTTCTATCAGAGGTTACGCAATCCCGGAATTTGAGTAAAACGTCATTCTGTTTCTCATCTTGGAAGCTATTTATATTCTGACCTTTCGGCTCCCATAATGCTGCAGTCTTAAATGTTCTGTACTGTCTGTGAATTCTCAATGATGGGATCAACTCAGAGATGGCCGTTGTAATCCCAAAGGGAAGTGCTGGGATGTACCCAGTAAGAGGTGTGCTTCCAGCTCTCTCACATTTCCTGAGCATGGCCTGATTACACAATGAGCTCTGCTCAGTAAATCCCTGACTTCTAAATGCCAGCAGCATGTGATCAAAAGAAGCATCTGCCAAGCTCGTGTGTAAATGCAGCTGGGATGGCTGGGAATTAGCGGGGCTAAGCCCCCGCTTCTGTGCAAAGTGCCAAACTACTAGAGCAAGGCTTCTTCCTCTAGCCGTCCTTATCGCACGAGACGTGTCAAGGTTAGCCCTTGTGCATGCCAACTTCTTTGTGCAGATCTGCCTTCAGAGAGCACCTGTGGAGTTGGGCTGCTCTAGAGAGTTAATTGGGGAAATAAGAAGCATTTCAGGCAGTGACCCGTGCTCTAGCATAGCAGGTGCCAGGCCCTGCTACTACAGCGTATGCTAGGAAAGACAGAGGAGTATGGGAGAGAAGGTGGCAAATCTAATCGTACCTTTTCCCGGTCTGTTTGTTATTCACAAAGTAACCCCTTCTGTAGGCACAACAGATGCCCAGCGTTATCAGCACCAGAACCACCACGACCACTAGAACTCCACCGATAATTCCACCAATATTAAGATCATCTGGAGAGGAGAGAAGGCATCAATCACTGATCCCCAGAGGTACCCAGTCTTCCACCCTCCCCCCCACACTAGCTTGCATGAAACCTTTACCCCCAAGATTCCACGCACACCTGGCCAGACTGTCTCCTCCTAACCCCCACCAGTAGTCTCTTCCTATCCATTACATGAGCATGGGCCCAGTATTTTGTGTTTGCTTCCATCCTCTACACACCAGGCCCTGATCCCCACCTTTTACTCCTCTTCACTAACCCCAAGGTGCGACTCGGATTCAGGAATAAACACTAACATTGCAAAGCTCCCAACCTCCCATCCCATAGCCGCCGGCTCTCAGCCTGGGCCACCTCTTGCCCTTGCTCACCAGCACAGGTGTGCAGCAATAGCGAAGAGCTATGATTCAGGAGGCCAAGGTTTGTAACATGCACTGTGTGCAAATGTCAGTGATGTTGCAGAGCATGAGGGAGTAATCCAAAGATCCTCTGTACTCTCAACTAGACCAGGGCTTCTTGGCCCTGCCTGGGCAATTACAGAGATACCTACGTCCCTCCTGGAAGGCACCTGGACTGAGAATGCACGTTTGTTAAGAAGCTCAAGTTAGTCAAGTGCTTTGGGAGCCTTTTCGAAGAAAGACCCGACTGTAGACCCAAGGGAAAATTACCAGGCGGCACCAGCCACAGCCCACACCTGGTGGAAGCAGCCAAAGCAGACGCCTCTGAACAAGAACGTCCTACGGTTCCGAGTGCTCTTTCTCTGGCCTGTGCTGATTGGCTGTTTGCTCCTTCCAGCTCCTCTGGAGGAGAGCGAAGTGCAATCTCCAGCCCAAGTAGATGTGCCCCTGCTAGCTCAGATCAAGCCAGTTTGCTTAAAAACAGCAGTTGTGAGCAGTGGGAAGAGCTACCTGCCCTGAGCACGTTCCTAGGGATCATACTCGAGCAACCGACCCTCACGCTGCCGGAGCTGCCCTTCTATTCTTACCGTGCTCTCTTGGCCAGAGCAACACCAATACGTTTGCTCTGACTGGACGTTAACACCTTCCAGCTCCCACGTAACCAAAGACTCTTCATTTCCACACTAGCCCCTCGTCTGCCCTGCCCCCTCCACGCCTCCATTCTCTTCCCTCGTCTCAGCCGCACTACGCCAGCCCTGTCCGTAAAACCACGGTGCTAACGTGTCTTTTGCTGCCATCAGACTGCTCGCTGTTGGTTAGACCCCCTCCCTCCACTCCTGTGTCTGACAGGTCTGTTTGCACTACATGCTCGTAGGAGCAGGCACTGCTAGTCGTTCCGGGTCTGGGTTGTGCCTAGCAGCAGGCGGGCCTTACGCGCTACCGTAAGAAACATAATTAATTCTAATGAGTAGAATCAAATATCCAAATCAGCTAAGGAACCTCTGGAATTGTGAAACTAATTGAGCCAATCTGCTCTCCCTGGCTTCCATTAGCAATTCTTTTTTGCTAGCTCTTGCCCACACTTGGCCCCCGCTGCTATTTAGACTTTCAGATGCCAGGAGCCACGGCTCTGCCTCATCCGCCTGTGCAGCACCATGCTGCCTGCGGGAATCCAGGAATTATTGAGGCACGTCCGCACTGAAGCTTGCAGAGCCACGAACAGACTGGATGCTGCATGAGATACCAACGGGAACCGGCTCCCCAACGCTGCCGAGCTTCTGACTATACAGCCACCACTTCCTCCAGGTGGGCAGATCCACTCACAGATTTCCATCTCCTGCTCCTCGCACTTGGCAGAGCCGACATCGTTCGTCGCTATGCAGTAGTAGCGGCCAGCGTCACCCTTCTGCACGGCAGCGAAGACCTGTTTGAGGAAGCATGATGTCAGACAGGAGTCGGGATCACGGCCCACAAACGTGTTACACTACACCCAAAGCTGCCAGAGGGCTCGGCCTTAATGACCCACAAAAGGAGGCTGTAAATATAGACAGGCATTTCTTTGCTTGCCTTCTGATCACATCAAAGACTGCAGGGAGCAGAACGTGCTGCCAGGTCTGCAGCCTGGAGATACTCCAGTTGCACAGACCCAAGAGAGCCCCAACAAGCAACTAGTGTCACCTCTTTTAGAGCAAAACATCTCCCTTAGTCACACAGGCTGCAAACTGGACCTGGGACACTTCCCCTGGGAAGACAGCGATTGAGAGAGACCTTTGAGGGCCAGGAACACTGCTTCTTCCTTTTCTACAGCGCTGACTTCTTATGGGAACCCTTTCACTAGAAACAGAGAGGAAAGTGCGGGGGGCGGGGGGAATTATGCCAGTCCTCCCTCCCCACAAGAGTGGTCTCTGGCCACTCTAGAGTCATCTCTTCGGCTCCCATAGAGTTCTTCCTCCCCCAGTAAGGATGAAAAATCCCATTTCATTGTTTAACCAATTAACTGATTGAAGAACACCGAGGGTGGGGGGCTGCCTCCCGACCGAAGCAGCCCCCTGCTCCAGCCCCCGCTGGTTAACCTGACCTGGTAAGCCTCCTGCGTTCAGGGTGAGGCTTACCAGGTAATGGGTTAATCCAGCATTTCCCAAAGTGGGGTCCGCGGCCCAGTACTATAGGAAAAAAATACCTGTCCTTAGAAAGATTATTGTGCACGATCCTATTAATTTGCGTAACGGGGGAACAGCACCCTGCATGGCCGAGCGCAGCCCTCTTGGGAGAGCGCCCGCCGCCGCAGCATCTCTGCCAGGCGTGTTCCCAGGCAGCAGGGCTAGATCCGGCGGGCGCTAGGACCCGGGGAGAAGGCCGGGTGCCACGCACACTGAAGCAGAACGCCCAGCGCTGGACGCAGCCGGGGAAGCCGGTGTCGGCCAGGCCTTGGGCCAGGCGCAGGGGCGGAACAACCCGCAGGACAGGTAGGACCAGCGACACAATTTATTTGTATATTCATCATTTGATTAATGAATATGCAAATAAATGTTACCTCCAAAATCTTGTGAATGGGTTTATTGGTCCCAGTATCAAAAAGTTTGGGAACCACTGGGTTAATCGTTCACATCCTTATCCCCCAGATCCTCCAGCTGGACTCGGCCAGCCCCGAGGGGCTAGAACACCTAATCTGCTCCCGTTGCCTCCTCTTTAGGCCACTCCTAATGTGGGCATCCACGAAGAGCAGGTCCCCTTTCCTTCCGCCAGGCGGCCCAACAGCCCAGCAGCAGCACTCAGCCATTTCCCCAAGAGCTTTACCAGGGTGCCCGTTCCAGGATTCAGGATGAAGGAGGAGTTACGGAACTTGGGGTTCGATTTGGAGTCGGTCGGTAAAGGTTCGCTGTTGTGGTACCAGCTGTACGTGGACTCCGGGTAGCCTTCATTCTCGTGGCAGTGAAGGGTGGCGGTTTTGCCCACGGGCACAGCTTTTGGGACCCTGCATCTGGGAGCAACTGGCTTCACTTGGAGGAAGAGACACAAAACATGTGAATCACACTGCCCACCACCGTGCAGCGCCCCAGGCCCCGGGACTGGAGGAATAAGGGGCACCCTGACAATAAGGATGCCGCGTGGCCTAGGGGATACAGTGCTGGCCAGTGCCCCCTTGCAGCACAGAGCAGCTGGACCCCACCTAGCATACCCGGGGCTGCTTTCCCTCCAGAGGGGATGCCCAGCACAGAAGGCTGATTGTCTTGGGAACCAGACACGGTGCACTGTTTAGTCAGCAGTATCGGCAATACCTTGCACTGTAAGCTGGATGCTTATCTCATCTGCTATGTTTTCATCATCTGGGGCTGCCACTTCGCAGCGGTAGGTGGCAGTGTCCATGCGGGTGACGTTTTTGATCACCAGCGATGTCCGGCTGAGGATTTCTGCCCGAGTTACGAAGTCTCCTGGAGAGGGGCAGAGAGACGAACAGGACAGATCGCATCTCCAGCTGCACCCTCCACCAATGCACGCAAGGGCTATCGCTCTGAAGAAGGGGAAGAATCTGAATGGGAAAGCCTAACAGCTGTTGCAAGCCATAAAGCCAGAGAATGGATTTCCAATCCTGATCACTCTCCAGATCCTAGAGCTGGCGATACCTTAACATAACCCCTCCCAAACGAGTGGGAAGTGGCACTCCAGTGATTACTCCAGCAAGCAGTGTTATCTGAGACGACGGTAGATCTTCCAAGTTTCATACTGGACACAAGGGAAGAAAAGTCTGGTCCTGACAGCCTTGCTCAGCTTGGTTTTGTAACAGTCAGGACATTAACGGACCCAGGGTCCAAGACTAAGGGGGCTAAACTAATTGCACCTTCTCTTCACCCAGTAAATGATCCCACCTAAAGGATGCAAAGTTCCCCTTCTATTCTCACAACAGCTCTCTTTGCAACTCCTCACTGCTGACCACTCGGCTGAGGTCTGACCGCAGGGAAGGAGGGTCCAGGCTTCCCTCAGTTCTGACCCTCGGCTGAGCGACAAGGGTTTCGGAAATAACTAGGAGAAGCAGAATCCCTGCCCTCCTAGAAAGAGGCAAAAGGGGAACACATCTTCATACCCTGAATTTTATTGTCAAAAAACACATAGGTCTTGTCATCGCCTTTGATTTTCTTCCACTCGATCCTCGGATTGGCTGTTGTGGTGGATTCGTTCACATCCTTATCCCCCAGATCCTCCAGCTGGACTCGGCCAGCCCCGAGGGGCTAGAACACCTAATCTGCTCCCGTTGCCTCCTCTTTAGGCCACTCCTAATGTGGGCATCCACGAAGAGCAGGTCCCCTTTCCTTCCGCCAGGCGGCCCAACAGCCCAGCAGCAGCACTCAGCCATTTCCCCAAGAGCTTTACCAGGGTGCCCGTTCCAGGATTCAGGATGAAGGAGGAGTTACGGAACTTGGGGTTCGATTTGGAGTCGGTCGGTAAAGGTTCGCTGTTGTGGTACCAGCTGTACGTGGACTCCGGGTAGCCTTCATTCTCGTGGCAGTGAAGGGTGGCGGTTTTGCCCACGGGCACAGCTTTTGGGACCCTGCATCTGGGAGCAACTGGCTTCACTTGGAGGAAGAGACACAAAACATGTGAATCACACTGCCCACCACCGTGCAGCGCCCCAGGCCCCGGGACTGGAGGAATAAGGGGCACCCTGACAATAAGGATGCCGCGTGGCCTAGGGGATACAGTGCTGGCCAGTGCCCCCTTGCAGCACAGAGCAGCTGGACCCCACCTAGCATACCCGGGGCTGCTTTCCCTCCAGAGGGGATGCCCAGCACAGAAGGCTGATTGTCTTGGGAACCAGACACGGTGCACTGTTTAGTCAGCAGTATCGGCAATACCTTGCACTGTAAGCTGGATGCTTATCTCATCTGCTATGTTTTCATCATCTGGGGCTGCCACTTCGCAGCGGTAGGTGGCAGTGTCCATGCGGGTGACGTTTTTGATCACCAGCGATGTCCGGCTGAGGATTTCTGCCCGAGTTACGAAGTCTCCTGGAGAGGGGCAGAGAGACGAACAGGACAGATCGCATCTCCAGCTGCACCCTCCACCAATGCACGCAAGGGCTATCGCTCTGAAGAAGGGGAAGAATCTGAATGGGAAAGCCTAACAGCTGTTGCAAGCCATAAAGCCAGAGAATGGATTTCCAATCCTGATCACTCTCCAGATCCTAGAGCTGGCGATACCTTAACATAACCCCTCCCAAACGAGTGGGAAGTGGCACTCCAGTGATTACTCCAGCAAGCAGTGTTATCTGAGACGACGGTAGATCTTCCAAGTTTCATACTGGACACAAGGGAAGAAAAGTCTGGTCCTGACAGCCTTGCTCAGCTTGGTTTTGTAACAGTCAGGACATTAACGGACCCAGGGTCCAAGACTAAGGGGGCTAAACTAATTGCACCTTCTCTTCACCCAGTAAATGATCCCACCTAAAGGATGCAAAGTTCCCCTTCTATTCTCACAACAGCTCTCTTTGCAACTCCTCACTGCTGACCACTCGGCTGAGGTCTGACCGCAGGGAAGGAGGGTCCAGGCTTCCCTCAGTTCTGACCCTCGGCTGAGCGACAAGGGTTTCGGAAATAACTAGGAGAAGCAGAATCCCTGCCCTCCTAGAAAGAGGCAAAAGGGGAACACATCTTCATACCCTGAATTTTATTGTCAAAAAACACATAGGTCTTGTCATCGCCTTTGATTTTCTTCCACTCGATCCTCGGATTGGCTGTTGTGGTGGATTTAATGATGCAGGACAGCTCCACACCTAAGAGAAAAAAAAACAAATAGAGACTAACAGGGAGCAGCTGTGTTTTCCCTCTGCTCTGAGCTCTTCGGCAGACTTGCACTGGGAGATGTCGCCCGGCCAGTGAAAATAATCGCAATGCAAATAGCGAGCTCTGAGAGCAAAGAACACTTTTGGCATAATGGTGTCTGATTTATAGCAAAGAATCCCTCACCGAGCAGGCGCCCAGCACTGGCTCAGTTGCGAATGAGCACGCAAGATGGAGCGCGAGGGTCACTATTCTCTCCCGGAGCCATGTCTCGGTGATAGCGGCCACACCGGCATTTGAGAGACTGCTTCAATGTCTCCACCACCCCTCCCACCTGAGTGAATTCAGCAGCCAGGCCCCTCTACGGGAGACACTCTCATCTCCACTTTACAGAACAGGAACTCAGGCGTGGAGAGGGGGTAACTCCTGCAGTAGGATGGGAAAGAGGAGTTACATCTCCCACAGCCCCGTCTTCTGTCTTACAAATCACAACGTGACTCTGGCCTGTGCTTGGGTCCTGCTGGTGTACTCTGAGACGCTGTCCCAGAACAACCTCTTAGAGCATTACCCGTGCTTGTGTCCTGGCACTTCTAAAAGGCAGCACTTACCTGCTCTTTAGGCCCTACTTCAGACCTGATCCTCACCTGAAACTTGAAATCCAACTAGATACCATTGCTCCAGGGTGCAAAACATTGACACTCCTGCAAGTTGTAATTAAGCCCGCCCTGGTGTAGACACTGCTAGATCGCTAGAAGAATTCTGTCAACAACCAAGCTACTGTGTCTGTCAAGGGGCTAGATTTACTACAGGGATGGGGAAACCCCTTCTGCAGCTGTAAGGAGTACCAGAACGGTAGTGCTTACCACATATGCATGTGCCTGAGGATAAATCTAAGTGCTCATGAGTTCAATGAGACGCGAGTAAAACATTTTCCCAGGGGGCGTCAGCAGAGCCCTGAAGTTTAAGTGCTTTGCTAAACAGGGAGAGATGTAAAAACACGCTTGAACACCTTGCTGGAACTCAGGGCCTTAGTTCTGCCTTGCATGTAGCCAGAGACATGTACAAGCTTTCCCAATTGTTGGGATTGATGCAAATCTACAGCGACCAAGAACTGGCATGCAGACCTGACAAGTCCCTCATAGCACTTACGCTGGAATTCCTGCACCACGGGCTTCTTGTTGCTGGATGTCAGTTCCACAGCCAAGATTCGATAGCCTATACAAATAAACAAACGGGAATAAGAACAGCCCAGCTCATAACTCCTACTGTTACAAACTTGCTCCCTGGTGAGAAATCCTCTGAGCCAGCTTCAATAAGGACCAGCTCCCCTACAACAAAAGCTACCCTTGGCCTTAAATGCTGGGCCAGCCAGCCATTAATCTCATGTTTATTTAAAATCAATCTCAGTGCAAACACTAAAGGTTAAAAGCAGCAATTAAAGAGCATTGACAAACTGGCACAATACCAGCAAAACGCTTCCTCCAGCCATGTGCTCATGTTGATAGGGTGGACTCACTCCAAAAAATGGCCAAAAGTGGCTTGCAAAATAAGGACATTTGCGTCCAAATTAATGAGGCAGATAAGATAAAAGGAAACAAGAATTTAATTCACTCTCTAACATCTGGAATTGTTCTCTTTGCCCACCGTCGATGCACAGATGATAGTCGTAGTTGTGTGCTTTGGAGGCGAAGTAGGCACTATAGAAATGTACAACGTGTGATTAATAAGCCACTGGAGGCTGTTTCAAGAGAGAGCTGGACGGAAAGGGAAGATTCAGGGCTCAAACAGAACACAGTTAAGAAAATGGAATTGAGCAGTTTAGGTAAATTCCTGACCTGGCTCAGGTCAGTGACAAATTTCCTACTGGCTTCAATTTGGCCAGGATTTCAGCCTTTGAGTGGAATGTGCAGAAGTCCTCGGCATCAGCTTGATTTTGCTACCAGCATAGCACTGACTACTAAAGGCGCAGGGATAAGTCAGTGCAGAGTGTTTTGCATAATCCCCTTCAGTCTGCCATTGGCTGTTTTCATTCTCTGTCATCCCTACTTCCCCCTCTCGCTGCTTGGTCTCCCGGCCTCCTGAATCAGTCCCTGAGACCTTTCATGGCTTTCCCAGCATTGTATCACCTAGGGATGGAAAAGGTTAACTGAGAGGGGCTGGAGCAGCTCCCTGCCTGCCCTGGGTGAGGGGCTGCTCCAGCCGCCATTTAGGGATCTGGGGCAAATCTGTCAGGGATGGTACTTGGTCCTGCTATGAAGGCAGGGGACTGGACTCAATGACCTTTCAAGTTCTCTTCCAGTTCTAGGAGGTAAGTATATCTCCATATAAACTGGTCTGTAATGTTTTTAAAAAATGGCTTGGAAAAATCCCACCGCTCCTGTTACCTGTGAATAGGGTTGCCAGATGGGTTCCCCTTCCCCCCCCCCCCCCACAACAAAACACAGAGCTCCTCTGGAGCAGGGAGAGGCATCCAGCTAGCAGACAGCAACGTACACCAGGAAAGTGGGATGAAACTGAGCAAACAAGGAGAAGGTTTTACTGCTGCATATTCTAGTTCCCGGCAGGGCCCATCCCTTCCTGCTCCATCGCACCCTCCCACCGAGCATGGTTTTTCCACAGCCCTGTGGACAAGGTACAGCAGGGCACACAAAGTACACAGGGCCCAGCATGGAGACTAGGGATGTGAAAGGTTAATGGGTGATGCTTATCGGTTCTGGTTAAGCACTGGGGGCTGGCGTAGCCCCCTGCCTGCTGCAGGTAGGGGGTTGCTCTGGCCCCTTGGAACCCACTGAGGTTAGGGGCTGGCTGGTTCACTGACGTCAATACAAAATAGGGTTGCCAGAGGGTTTAACAAAAAATACCAAACACTGCCCCCCCCCCCCAAAAAAAAACAAACAAAAACAAAAGCACCAGGAAAAAATTCTGTCAAGGAAAAAAAGGGGGAGACCAAAGTTAAGCAAAAAGAGAAAAAAAAGGTGGGGGGAGCCAAAGTTGTTAAGCAAAAGCTGGTTCACTGACGTCAATACAAAATAGGGTTGCCAGAGGGTTTAACAAAAAATACCAAACACTGCCCCCCCCCCCCAAAAAAAAACAAACAAAAACAAAAGCACCAGGAAAAAATTCTGTCAAGGAAAAAAAGGGGGAGACCAAAGTTAAGCAAAAAGAGAAAAAAAAGGTGGGGGGAGCCAAAGTTGTTAAGCAAAAGTTGCACCACTCCCTCCAGTTT